TCAGGGCCACAGAATTGTTACAGACACAATTGTTACTGAGGGACACAGAATTGTTACTGAGGGCCACAGAACCGTTACTTAGGGCCACAGAATTGTTACAGGGACACAGAATTGTTACTGAGGGACACAGAATTGTTACTGAGGGCCACAGAATTGTTACTTAGGGCCACAGAATTGTTACTCAGGGACAGACACAGAATTGTTACTGAGGGACACAGAATTGTTACTGAGGGCCACAGAATTGTTACTTAGGGCCACAGAATTGTTACTCAGGGACAGACACAGAATTGTTACTGAGGGCAGGGACACAGAATTGTTACTGAGGGCCACAGAATTGTTACTTAGGGCCACAGAATTGTTACTCAGGGACACAGAATTGTTACTGAGGGCCACAGAATTGTTACTCAGAGGGCCACAGAATTGTTACTGAGGGACACAGAATTGTTACTGAGGGACACAGAATTGTTACTGAGGGACACAGAATTGTTACTGAGGGACACAGAATTGTTACTTAGGGCCACAGAATTGTTACTCAGGACACAGAATTGTTACTCAGGGACACAGAATTGTTATGAGGGCCACAGAATTGTTACTCAGGGGACACAGAATTGTTACTCAGGGACACAGAATTGTTACTGAGGGCCACAGAATTGTTACTCAGGGCCACAGAATTGTTACTCAGGGCCACAGAATTGTTACTGAGGGACACAGAATTGTTACTCAGGGACACAGAATTGTTACTCAGGGCCACAGAATTGTTACTCAGGGACAGACACAGAATTGTTACTCAGGGACACAGAATTGTTACTCAGGGACACAGAATCGTTGAATTAAAGAGTATGTCAGACAACATGCAGAGGAGTGGCAGAGGAGGCAATGTTTTAGGAGCGAGCAGACGTGGCAGCAGAGGAAGGGGTCGAGGCAGCACTATTCGCAGCCAGAGGCCAGTGCTCCCGGTGTCATCCAGCGGTCGTGTCTCCACCGACAACCCTGCCGTCATCGATTGGTTGGCTCGGTCGTCTTCCTCTTCCCAGGTCACCTCTGACACCTACAGCCAACGGTCGGTGGGTACGTCAGACACACCGTTAGTTGGCATGGCCCGGGACCAAGCCCACTGAAATCACGTGTCCTCTACCTGCCCCTGTCCTTTGGTGTTCCCTCACCAAGCGAAGTATCGCATGCTGTGGGCTCAGCCCCACTGTACAGTGAGGAAGAGCTAACAGAGGGCGGTCAGGAACGGGGGGAGACATCCGCCTTTTCAGCAGCCAGGCGAAGAAGTACTGGCGAGGAGAGTGGCTCGGTAGCCGGTCTAGAGACAGGTCTGTCTCCTGACCCAGACGCAGCCGAGGGGGCTAGTAGTGAGGCGGAGACCCTACTTGATGATGAGGAGGTTGATCGCACTTGGCAGCCTCGTCGTCATCAGGCAATTTCTTCCGCATCATCAGGAGAAGAGGGTGGCAGCTTGGCAGCGAGCGAAACAGTCGGTGGGTTGCCCAGGAGGCAGCAGGGTCGCAGCAGTGTCAGTGGAGCCAAACGGCCACGGAGTAGAGCACCAGCTCCACTGCAGCCTACCACCACGGCCGTAGTGGTGCCGGTGTGCACGGAGGAAGCAGCAGTCAGCCAGTGAGGAGTATCGGGGGCAAAGTTTCCTACTCGGCGGTGTGGCAATTTTTCGTCAAGCCGCCCGAGGAAGTAAACGTAGCCGTATGTCGACTATGTGGCCAGAAAGTCAAGCGTGGCCAGGGGGCCCATGTTGGGACTACAGCGTTGCGGCAGCATATGCAGCGTCGCCATTTGGTGGCCTGGGAAAACCGTGATAAAGATACGGCGGTTCTGCCCCCCCAGCCCCCGCTCCATCACCCGCTCCGTTACTTGCTCCGTCACCCGACGTCAATCGCCCTCCATCAGCCAGTCAAGGCTCCAACACCTCTGCTGAGGGGAGTTGTCGCTCGTTGGCATCTTCCGCTCGTTCAGATGCTCCTTCTCCTGCTACTCCTCTTCACGGATTCCGTCAGCAGTCTTTCTTGGAATCCGTTTCCAAGAGACAACAGTTTGCGAGCACGCACCCGACGGTGCAAAAGCTGAACGTCCTCCTGTCCAAGTTGCTGGTGCTGCAGTCCCTCCCTTTCCAAGTGGTGGACTCAGCACCTTTCCGAGAAATGATGGCTTGTGCCGCGCCGCGGTGGAGAGTGCCAAGCCGTCATTTCTTCGCCAAAAAGGCAGTGCCAGCCCTGCATTCACATGTAGAAGAGATGGTGGGCCAGTCTTTGAGCATGTCGGTCTCTGCCAAAGTGCACGGCAGCGCCGACGTGTGGAGCTGTAACTACGGTCAGGGACAGTACATGTCATTTACGGCCCACTGGGTGAACGTGGTGCCGTCACAGCCGCACCAGCAACTTGGACAGGTCACGCCGCTTTTGCCTCCACGTTTGCACGTCCTTGGTCCACAAAAGATGTCCGCCTCTACCACCTCTTCTTCCGCCGTGTCCTCAGCCGCCACCCCCCCCGTGCCAAGTCCCATTACCGACCGGCATATCACATGTGCAGGGCGCAACGGTGTCACGCTGTGCTGCACCTGGTATGCCTTGGCGAACGTAGTCACACAGGGGAGGAACTTCTCAGTGTAATGAACAGAGAAATCGACAGATGGCTGTCTCCGCGCAAACTGAAAATCGGAACCATGTTGACCGACAACGGAAAGAACATGGTGTCTGCTCTGCGTCAAGGAAGGTTGTGCCATGCGCCATGCATGGCTCACGTGTTCAATCTGGTTGTCAAGCGGTTCCTAAAATCCACCATCCCACTGCAAGACATCCTTAAAATGTCACGTAAACTTTGCATGCATTTCAGCCATTCCTACACCCGCAAAGCACACCCCCTCCTTGAGCTGCAGCTGCAGCGGCAGAACGGAATTCCACAGCATCGCCTGATCTGCGACGTTGCAACAAGGTGGAATTCAACCCTACACATGTTAGACCGCCTTTACGAACAGCGAAAGGCCATCACCGATTTCCTGATGTTACAAGCGGATAAAGGTACTCCCTGTGTAACTTCGATGTCAGCCATTGGCAGCTCATGCGTGACACCTGCCGCTTGCTCAGGCCCTTTGAGGAGGCCACGCTATTCGTGAGTCGGCAGGACTATGGGATGAACGACGTCATTCCTCTGTTGCACGTCCTGGAACAAATGCTGTTAACAATGGCTGGTCAGGGTGCGGTAGACGTGGCGCACAGATCTCAACGCCACATGACCCCTGTGGGGGCAGGACAGGAAGAAGAGGAGGAGGTAGAGGAGGACATTTGTGCTCAGGAATTATTGAGTGAAATGGGTGGTTTTTCCACTCAGCGGACAGGAGTGGAGGAGCAGGAGCATCTGGTAGAGGAGGAGGAGGAGGAGACAGAGGACCCAGACGCACCGTGGCAGTATGCTGTGGAGATGGAGGCAGGGAGTCCCTCGCATTCCTTGGCACAAATGGCCCATAGCATGCTCGTAGCATGCGGTGCTTGCGTAGCGACAGCCGAATAATAACCATCAGACAGAGGGATGACTTTTGGCTGTCCACCTTGTTGGACCCTCGCTACCGTTCAAAAATGGTGGCCTTTTTCACACCTGCTGAGAGGGAGGCCAAAATAACGTACTATAAAAACCACCTATGTAGTCAGTTGGTCTCTGCCTTTTTGTGCGCCAACGTCCATCCTCAGACACTGTGGGCCCTGTGCGCTCGCGTTCCGCTGCCATGGCAGCAGGGGAGGGGTGGGGTGGTAGGAGCAGTGGCAGCTCCACCAGCAGCGGCTGCCTCAGTCTGCAGTCGATGATGAGTAGCTTTCTTCACCAGCGCAGTGAGGAAACTACTAACCAGCCCAGCAGCAGCAGCATCAGGTGGACCTGGAGCAGGACCTCAAACAACAGGCTTGGGCCTACTTGGACAGCACCCTGCCAACCGAGGTAGACAATCCCCTTGACTACTGGGCAACGAAACTTGACCTTTGGCCCCAACTAGCTGAATTTGCCCTTGAAAGGCTGTCATGCCCGGCCAGTAGCGTGGCATCGGAGCGCGTGTTTAGTGCGGCAGGAGGTATTGTAACTCCGCGGAGAGGACACGACTGTCCACCCAAAGTGTGGAGAGACTCACGTTTGTGAAAATGAATCAGGCGTGGATTAGTCTGGATTTCAAACCACCAGTTCCTGACACAACTGACTAAATCCGCCATGAATCATGCCCCAAACATGTGCCACTTTCAGGTCTCCTCACACTGCTGGTGTGTTCCAATTTTTTTGTCATAGGGTGCTGGCAGATTACGGGCCTCCCATAGCTGCTGCCAGGCCCCTAATCTGCCATGGGCCCCTATACCGCCTCCTCATGCTGCTGCCAGGTCCAGAGTCTCTCATGGGTCCCTGTACGGCCTCCCATTGCTGCTGTCTCCATCGCCACACTCTGCCATGTGCCACTTTCAGGTCTCCTCACACTGCTGGTGTGTTCCATTTTTTTTTGTCATAGGGTGCTGGCAGATTACGGGCCTCCCATAGCTGCTGCCAGGCCCCTAATCTGCCATGGGCCCCTATATACCGCCTCCTCATGCTGCTGCCAGGTCCAGAGTCTCTCATGGGTCCCTGTACGGCCTCCCATTGCTGCTGTCTCCATCGCCACACTCTGCCATGTGCCACTTTCAGGTCTCCTCACACTGCTGGTGTGTTTCAATTTTTTGTCATAGGGTGCTGGCAGATTACGGGCCTCCCATAGCTGCTGCCAGGCCCCTAATCTGCCATGGGCCCCTATACCGCCTCCTCATGCTGCTGCCAGGTCCAGAGTCTCTCATGGGTCCCTGTACGGCCCTCCCATTGCTGCTGTCTCCATCGCCACACTCTGCCATGTGCCACTTTCAGGTCTCCTCACACACTGCTGGTTGTTCATATTTTTTGTCATAGAGTGCTGGCAGATTACGGGCCTCCCCATAGCTGCTGCCAGGCCCCTATCTGCCATGGGCCCCTATACCGCCTCCTCATGCTGCTGCCAGGTCCACAGTCTCTCATGGGTCCCTGTACGGCCTCCCATTGCTGCTGTCTCCATCGCCACACTCTGCCATGTGCCACTTTCAGGTCTCCTCACACTCCTGCTGGTTTCCATTTTGTCATAGGTTGCTGGCAGATTACAGGCCTCCCATAGGTGCTGCCAGGCCCCAAATCTGCCATGGGCCCCCGTACCGCCTCGTCACGCTGCTGCTGGGTCCACAGTGTGACATGGGTCCTTGTACCGCCTCCCATTGCTCCCACTCTGCCATGTGCCACTTTGAGGTCTCCTCACACTCCTGCTGGTTTCCATTTTGTCATAGGTTGCTGTATGACCTCCCATTGCTGCTGCCTCCACCGCCACACTGTGGCTCCAAACACTGGTTTTGGCCCCGTGACTGGCCAAATGAGTGAAGTGTGCGGTGATTCTAAGATCGACGGCACTCATCTGCATGTCATACTGACTGACAGTATTATTTCTCTTCCCCAGCAGACTCCAAGGGCATTTAAATTAAAGATTCAGTGTTCTGCACTAATATTAAGTCTCTCTGAAGCCTAGAAACACCCTTTTTTAAGTTTAAATTCACAGCGAATATATTCGACTCGAATCGAATATTTTCCACGAATTCGCCGAATCAGTCGAATCGAATTTTTGAATACTTCGCTCATCTCTATTTGTTATGATGGTATCATTATCATAGGTAAACTGTCAGACTGATTATTTTATTCATAGCAACCATTCAAACCTTTTATAAAAATTACATACAGCAGGGCAGAGACATAATTGCCATAAAACAAATAGTAACATCCTCCCAATAGTCCTCACATCAAAACTGCATGGCTAAAATAATTAATAAACTTTTATTGCAAATAGTCATATAAGCAAGTCTTTGTAGGGAAATAAGGACATTTCTCAATGCATTTTAAGGATAATTAATCTACTTCATCAGGAGATTTGTAGGAAGAAAATGTATAGCAAGGTCTATAACATAATATTCATTGTCACTGCTTACATATCAAACATTGAATATATCTATACATTGTACATAACCAAATATAAATTCATCGCTTTTAAGCAATATACATGTGTGCCAGATCCACTGTACATCTGCCCTTAGCACTTCACTATCATCAATGAGTGGAGGGGCTGCAAGAGATATTAGGGCTTCTGGGAGTCAACATGTTGGTTAAACAAAGGCTGTATGAGTATATGTGTATGTCAATAATATTCTTAAAAGGTGATCACAATCCAATTTGTTCACGTCTTTCCAAAGCAGTTAGACTGAGTTCACAATTCCAGGTGTCTCCACAAAGGCACAATTGTAGAATCCATAAAGGCTTGACAGTGCTAAAAGAAAAACCCTACAGTGAAATAAGAGAACTTTTATATTAGATTTAAAGATCATTTTTCAAAATATGTCATCTAAAATGTAAAAAAAAAAAGAGAAAAACGTCTCTACCTTATTCACAAGCAAGTCAACTCACTTGGAACCACAGCACCAACCTAGCAATTGAATTAGTAATGGTAATAATTATTTTGTTTGTTGCCTGCTCATTACACCGCGTTCCAAATTATTATGCAAATTCTATTTAAGTGTCACAAAGATTAAATATTTTGTTTTTCAGTGTAACTCATGGATGGCATTGTGTCTCAGGGCTCTTTTGATCACTTAAAACAATCTCGGGTGTTCCACATTATTAAGCAGAGCACCATTTTCAAGCAATATGGTGAAGAAAAAGGATCTCTCTGCTGCCGAAAAGAGTGAAATAGTTCAATGCCTTGGACGAGGTATGAAAACATTAGATATTTCACGAAAACTTAAGCGTGATCATCGCACTATTAAGAGATTTGTGGCTGATTCAGAGCACAGATGGGTTTGTGCAGATAAAGGCACATTGAGGAAGATTTCTGCCAGATCCATGCATTGGATCAAGAGAGCAGCTGCTAAAATACCATTACATAGCAGCAAACAGATATTTGAAGCTGCTGGTGCCTCTGGAGTCCCACGGACATCAAGGTGTAAAGTCCTCCAGAGTCTTGCAACTGTGCATAAACCTTCTATTCGGCCACCACTAACCAATGCTCACAAGCAGAAATGGCTGCATTGGGCAGAAAAATACATGAAGACTAATTTTCAAACAGTCCTGTTCACTAATGAGTGCCGTGCAACCCTGGATGGTCCAGATGGATAGAGTAGTGGATGGTTGGTGGACGGTCACCCTGTTCCGACAAGGCTGCGACGTTAGCAAGGCGGTGGTGGAGTCATGTTTTGGGCCGGAATCATGGGAACAGAGCTGGTCAGCCCCTTTAGGGTCCATGAAGGTGTAAAGATGACCTTTGCAAAGTATGTGGAGTTTATGACTGACCACTTTCTTCCCTGGTACAAAAGGAAGAACTATGCTTTCTGTAATAAAATCATCTTCATGCATGACAATGCACCATCTCATGCTGCAAAGAATACCTCTGCATCAATGGCTGTTATGGGGATAAAAGGAGAGAAAGTCATGGTGTGGCCTCCATCCTCCCCTGACCTCAATCCTATTGAGAACCTTTGGAGCATCCTCAAGCAAAAGATCTATGAGCGTGGGAGGAAGTTTACATCCAAACAGCAGCTCTGGGAGGCTATTCTGACATCTTGCAAACAAATTCAAGCAGAAACTGTCCAAAAACGCACAAGTTCAATGGATGCAAGACTTGTGAAGCTGCTATCAAATAAGGGGTCCTATGTTACAATGTAACGTGACCTGTTAAAATGTTTAAAAAGTTAAAATGTTGTTAAAAGTTTGATTGAAATAGCTTTTGATTTCAGTAAATATGCTGCAAACACAACAAATGACAATTTTCAGTTCTTTACAAACTATAAAGTGTTTTGAAACTTACTGTGCATAATACTTTGGAACAGTGCGTTGTAAGTTTTTTTATGTTTAAAAAAAAATACTGTTTATCATTAGGAGGTTTGTTCAATAAAATGTGAATTGTACTCTTAATAGTTGATAACATGAGAATTATGCTGACTGTTATTTACATCAATTATTTAGGTAAATGAGAAACATATCATTTGCATAATAATTTGGAACACAGTGTATATCTTCCTATTCCAGTTTGCTATTTTGGCCAATTATTATTGTCCCTCCTAGGATAGTTATATGTAACAAATACAATAAAGCTGCAAATCAAACTCAGAAATAAATACATTTATGTTCAAATATGACAACTTTTTTAAAGAAACCCAATTTATTTTGGTATTTTTAATGTTTGTTTTCAAAAATACGTAAGTGAAAACTATATGTCTTTAGGGTTATAAATTAAAAAGCCAAAAACATAGATATAGATTTTAAACATGTATGGGAAGCCATCCATCAGAAGAGTTCACAAAACATGTTGAAATTGTTGATTAGACATTATAGAAAAGAACTGTTAAAAACTGACATGGAAATACAACAGCTTCAGTCACAAAATGCCAATTTGATAACACTTCCCCAATTTATTACAAAAGAAAAAAGGCTTAGGAATATTTAGAGAAAAAACAACAAGAGTGCTGTAAAATAATTAAAAAAATCTTAAGGGCTAAATTGACATTCTGTGGAAGACATGCATGCTAGTGGAGTATGCCCAATAAATTCAGATCCAAAGCACAGATAGGATTAAGGCTGGTACACTTGGTAACAGAAACCAGCCAACATTCAGCCAGTGTGTAGAGCAGCCTGTCTGACAGAAGCCGGTCTAACAACTGGCTTCTGTCAAACAGGCTTGCTGGTAAACCAACATCTGATCAGCTCTGGCAGCCAATGGCTATAAGCGCTAATCAGGGTGTTCTGGTGGGAGGGGCAGTCCCCCTGTCAGAACACAATAGCTCAGAGGGGGCGATCACCATATCAACATCACTTAGTACATATGGCGAGCTGGGTTGAAAGAAAAAGAAATGTATCAAGTGTAGCATTAGACAGACTGCTGATGGGTACAATACATGATTCATTGATACCAAGAGATGACTTGTTTTCAAATAAAACACAGGCAAATAAATATGATCATACTGATGGTGGTCTGGTTTTAGAACATTTGTCACAGTCACAGTGTAGTGAGACTACATTTATGTGATTCCTCTAGGGTTATACCAAAAGAAGGATCACTTCATACAGACACAGATATTTCAAACACTAACTTATAACTGACCCAAAGATAATTAATGAATCAACATAAGCCACAAGGCTGTATAATGTAGGAGCAATTCTAAAATCTGACATATACATCCCTCAACAAATCTCTCAAAATAATGAAGAACATGGAACAATTCCTAATTAAAACTGCCAGGACAACAGCAAATAGAAGTTAGCAATCTGTCCTCATATAATTTATTGCAACTGGAGGTTAAGATACCACATTTAGTTTTGCTCTTTTTCAAGATATGGATACATTTCATTTTATTATAGATCTGAAATCCCTATATTATAAAGATAAACTTCCATCCATCCAACAAGCCGACATTAGAGATACTTTGAGTGTCTACAGAACTTTAAAAGATCTGATTCAGATTTTAAAAGAAAATGAGAAGGAATGTTCAGTTGATGACAATATGACTTTTAAAAAATATATCTGAAGCTGGCATTATCAATGTGATACCTAGTTTCGATAATAATATTCCCATGGATGGTGAATCCTAGTCAAGTAAAAATATAAAAGAAATTCTAAGTTTCGCAAATCTGTGGGATGCATCCTGAAAAAGCTTACAATGTAAGCAAAACTCATCAATGTGCCCCCCCCCCCCCCCACAAACAAGCATGGCACCATGATGTAATGCACGTAAAGATAATATGATTTCTGATGAGTTTATTATGCTCAGTGGTATTGATGGATCAATATGATAATTTAGATACAGTACAGTGGCTAAATGGTTAGCACTTCCGCCTGGCATTACTAGGGTTGTTGGTTCGAATCCCAGCCACGGCACCACCTGCCTGGAGTTTGCATGTTCTCCCTGTGACTGCATGGGTTTCCTCCGGGTACTCCGGTTTCCTCCCACACTCCAAAGACATGCTGGTAGGTTAATTGGCTCCTGTCTAAATTGGCCCTAGTATGTGTATGTATGAATGTGAGTTAGGGACCTTAGATTGTACACCTCTTGAGGGTTAGGGACTGATGTGAATGTACAATATATACTGTATGTAAAGCGCTGTGTAAATTGACTGCGCTATATAAGTACCTGAAATAAATAATAATAAATACAGTAAGTACAGCAGCACTATGAATAAATAAACTGCCTTTATGTGACATCATCATGTAGGCAAAGAGTAAAAAAGCGCGGTAACTGGGCCTTTAAATGGTGTGAATGAATAGCATCAAATGTCTCTGTTATAGTGGTGAGAATAGTTTAAGTC